ACAATCCCATCACATTTCATTTCATCACATTCAGTTCAGATTGCACAATCACAACAGAAAACAATGATTAATTTCACTGTGGTGCTGTGGAATCAACAGCAGAGTAGCTGTGTGTATTTTAATGAGTCTTCAGGTCTGCAGGGCTCATGCACAGGGTTATTTGCAGAACTCTTCTACTATCTGGCCTGAATCCAGAGCCAAGTGAGGGTTAGACATGCACAGGTGGGCCCTGGGTAATGTGCACAGGGTGGGAGAAAATGAATGCCAGGATATGGGTCACAGAGAAACAGGTGGGATATGGCCTAATTTTTTAAAACAGACAGATTGACTTATATAGACACACTGAGAAGTCTAATAAAATAGTTTCTAATAGAATTTTCAGAGTTTTCACTATTAGGCCTTCATGAGGCATATGCTGGGCAATATTATCAGCTCACTTCCTGCCTGGCACAGTCGTACCTCCCGATGAAGGACAGCTCTGAGGCGATGATTTCCATAATGTCAAGGCTGACCTCAAATCAAGTTTTTGAACCATCTGTTCAATGAGGGAATTGCTAAGCTGGATCCAGAGTTGAGCTTGACAAGTTTTAAATTGCATTAAAGACTTGGCATGAAGTCTTGAGGCGATTATGGCTAAATCATATCAATTTAAAACCTCATACTCTATTTTTTTTGGCATATTAATTTTATTTTTTTTACTCTTTCCATTAATCACTAGTCCGATTTCTTGCATTCTTTGACCTTTAACATTTTAAATCCTTCAATCCAGGCGAACCCCCCGTCATTTGACCGCTGTGAGGACTTGGCAGCTCTGCTCTACCTGAATGAGACCAGTGTCATGCATTCCTTGCGCCAGCGCTATGGAGGAAATCTCGTCCACACATACGCAGGGTCCAACATGGTGATCATCAACCCTACCAGCACCCCCTCAATGTATTCCGAGAAGGTGTGAGCCCTTGTTTTTCTTTTACACTCCTTGCATCCAAATATGCTTACTTCTTTACTATGTAGTATCCACAATATTCATTAAACAGTAGGCGACAAATACTCACATAACGTCCTAGTTCATGAAAAGCATATTATACTCTGACAGTGTGCGATTTATAGACGGAGCTACTCACGGTGGCAGCAATGCATTATGGGTACAATATTTTCTACAACTGTCCCTTTGTCAGTTTAACGCAATAGGAAATGAAAGCCGCTAATGAGCTTTATTGGTTTTCATGCAAGATAAATTACTACCCATAAAATGTAATTACAATCCAGAAGAGAATTTCTTTCAGTCACTGGTCCTAATTAAGTGATTTTGCATTATGGATCAAGCTGATTATGTGCCGTGATGAGCGTTTTCTGCATTCTAAAGCTGAAACTATGATTATATGTGAAAATATGCAGTTGCACTTGTGCTGGAAAGATGGTTTACACCTACTTTCTTTTCTAATTAACAGCTATTGATTTTCCCTTCATTGGAAAATTTAATGTTTATGGGTTTACATTTGAGGCTTTAAGGTTTCCATTATTGACTTTTCTGTAGTACAGAAAATAAACACTCTGTAATACATTAATATTATTAGTTTGAGTATTTAGTTTTTCCAAACAATGATCTTCATTAAGCTTGTCCACAGAATTTTGTTTTCTTGGGCAAGAGGCATAAAGAAAATTAACATATTTGTCAGTGTGTTAGAAGTTTATTTTTTCTCTGTTGTTTCAGGTGATGCACATGTTCAAAGGCTGTCGAAGAGAAGACACAGCTCCTCATATATATGCAGTATCCCAATCCGCCTACCGAAACCTTTTGACAACACGACAGGACCAGTCCATCGTGCTGCTGGGAAAGAGCGGCAGTGGCAAGACCACAAACTGCCAGCATTTAGTCCAGTACCTGGTGTCCATCGCTGGCAGCACTGGAAAGATCTTTACTGGTACAGAGACAAGAGCCATAATCTCCTAGCATTTTTAAATGGGATTCTAGGAATGCACCAAATTTTTAAAATTATTTTAAATCAGTTCTTGCGAACTTTAATAACATAAATGTGTTTGATTTCAATTATACTAAAATGGTAACCTAAAATGATAACATCTAAATGAACTGGTTTCATTCAAGTCAGAAATGTTATTTAATATCACTGAACCGAAATACATTAATTTATATCAACAAAACTAATGTATATGGGTTAAATCAGGTAGAAATAGCTCTTTAAGGTAACAGTTGCAGATTACCACATTTTACAGTGTACAATCTGTAACTTAATTTAATTTAAGCTCCAATCTGAAATTTTCATTAATTTGTAAAAGTGCAATACAATGTACAAATATTAGAATTTAATAATAGAGATACTTTTTTGTTGTTCTTTTGTAACCAAGCTAATATTGGCCTATATGAAATGGTCATTATGCATTCCCATTTTTAGCTGCATAGTATCTCACCATGTGCTTGAAAAGCTTGAACAGCCTGTGGTAAAGGGTGAATGGAAGGGTGTCATGCGGTCACGGGAATGGGCTTGTGTAGCGTGGTGAGAGTGTGAGCGCTGGGAAGAGGGTGACAGATGAGGGCTGTGCTAATGATGCCCACTAAAGCACTCTGATAATTAGCCGTCATCAAGGCCTGCTCAACCCCTGCTCGGTCAATAATGACATAATGAAGACTACAGTGCTCATCAACTATACCATTAAATAGGCCTTGATGTTATCTCCGTATGCTCGACTCTGTATGCAGGATCCTGTCTTCTAGTGCAGTCAGTGTTAAAGAGTGAGTCCATTAGTTAAATATTTATGTGTGTCTCCTTCAGCTGAGAAATGGCAAGCGGTCTACACAATCTTAGAGGCCTTTGGAAACAGTGCCACCTCCATGAACAATAATGCAAGCCGCTTCTCCCAAATCGTCTCACTGGATTTTGACCAGGCTGGTCAGGTGGCTTCAGCCTCCATTCAGGTTTGTCGATATAGTACTGGGTCATATCTAAGTTATATAAAATGCACATTGTACAAATTTTATGACTTATAGTTAAATGGCAATCCTTCATCTATCCACCCACCCTGCTACCTTTAATGCCCTTTTAATAAAATGTTTAATTCAACAAATAATAATAATGAACAATATAAATGTTATCTTAATAGTTTTTATATAGTTAACATTTTATAGTACAATACTTTAAAAATGACCCTTTTAAAATGGGTGAAGAATAGAATTACCTTTTTGTAATTATATAAACATTTGTTTGCTCTGTTCGTTTGTAATGTTTTGATAATTTTACTAAGACTGATTAATCTCTTTCTTTTATATGTAGACCATGCTGCTGGAGAAGCTGAGAGTGGTAAAACGACCAGAGACTGAGTCCACTTTTAATGTTTTTTATTACATGATGGCTGGAGCTGACAGCACACTTAGGTAATCTCACAATAATTGTATGCATGTGCATTTTTCAGTTATTTTGTTTGACCCCAACATTTCTGCTCTCAGAAAGTGTGCACTATTGAAGAAATCTGTAAAATAACTATAATTGAATAACTTGATTGTATTTCAATTTTACTGCAGAACGGAGTTGCATTTTAACCACTTTGCAGAGAACAGTGCTTTTGGGATTGTGCCTCAAACTAAGGTTATATTTTATTTTATTTTATTTTATTTTATTTTATTTTAATCTAATCCCATCTAATATTCTTTTTTTGTGTGTGTATACACAGTCTGAGGACAAGCAAAAGGCATCACAACAGTTCACTAAACTGCAGGCAGCTATGAAGGTGTTGGGCATCTCTTCTGATGAACAGAAAGCTCTGTGGCTCATCCTTGGAGCCATATACCACCTTGGAGCTGCAGGGGCCACAAAAGGTAATGCAAAGCTCCCTCACTCCAAGTCACCAATAACCCCAGCATAAACCTTTAGCAAAACGTATTTAGAAAGTTTAATAGCTTGCTTTGATTCCAAGTCTTCCCCTTTAAGCCCCACACTGTTGTCTCTGAGCTAATTTAGCTCACAAAAGCATTCGACAGCTTTCTCTTTACACATCAGAACTGGAGAGCTTCAAAAAAAGCCTTAATGAGATAAAATGCTCAAAACGCCTAACAAGCACAGAAACAGACTTTATTAATTAAGGCCGACTTACTGTCTGCTTACTGAACTTAAACAGAGAAGAGACAAGCAGCTCAGGAAACAGTTTGATGTTGAGGAGTTTAGAGATATGTGTGTTTCTTTAGCTCTAATGAGGATGGATGGCTCAGTATTTACAGTCTGTGATATCACTTCCCCCTCATGCAGTCAGACGATGATGTATTAATGAACCTTTTAATCACCAGACTCCAAACTGTACTGTCTACATGCTGTCTCTAGGGTCCACAGTCATGGGAAACTCAGAAATAGCTGGGAATATTCAAATTGTGTGTGCGTGTGTGTGTTTGTCTTATAACATCATAGATAATTGCTATATAGAGAGTTAAATTTCTATAGAATTATTATTTGAAAATTATCCAGTAATAAAAGGTGTGGGAAAGGTTTGACTTGGATTTGAATACATGGCCATCGGTGTGTTTTAATTGTATGTAATGTGTACTAGTTTGTTGCTGATATATCGTCACTGCAGTCACTGGATTGCTCAGTATCTGCAGTGGATCCCTTCGTTCTAGTCTGGTACTCTTTCCTGTACCTGCATGCCTCCCCTGTGTCTCTCTCAGACAAATGTGGGAATGCCTTATTTCTGACAGGAGGTACTAATACTGCTTTAGTGTTCTGAGTTGGTACTAAAGACTACCATTATATGACATCAAACATCATAAAGCTTTTTTAGCAACACATTTCACCTTCAGGACAATATATTCAGTGTTTATAAAGATGTCTTTGTCTCCTTTCACTCAGTCGTACCTGACTGTGCGTACAGCAGGGGGCAGTGTTGTTCTGCCTTATTGTGTTTTGTCTGGGTATTTACCTTGGTCAAGTCTGTTGTTGTTCTTCTTAGTACAGGCACGTACCTGTAAAAAGTGACATAGTTTTTCTAGAACAACATCTTGATATATACTACCGATCAACTTTGGGGACCGTAACTATTTTTTTATATACTTTTATTTAGCAAGGATGCATTAAAGTGACGGTAAATACATTTATAATGATTTCCATTTCCATTTTGATCAAATAAATGCAGCCTTGGTAAGCATAAGAGATTGTTTTTAGATTTGATAAAAAAATACAGTAAATACATTAATTAAAACCTTTTTCAAAAACACTGATAAACCTTTCCCGACCCCCAACTGAATGGTAGTGTACAGTGCATAACCCAAAAATACGAGCAGTAATTACATGCTTTACTACAGACTTACATAATTTACATTTATTAATTTAGCAGTCCAAAGCAACTTAAATAAACCCAATAAGCACAAGCAATTATACAACATAAATGGTATTAAACCATTTCTTTTTTATTAAACCTAAAGCAACAGTATTATTCTACACAATTTTATATAAAAAAAAAAATTACAATGTAACCTGTACATGTTATTTCAAGAAAATTGACTTTGTAATAATTATGAACTATTATTAGAATTTTTTTAAAATATATTTTGAGAAAGTTTTCTACAATTAAAAATATACAAAATAAAAAAAAATCACAATTTAGTTTATTACTAGTCCTGATATATGCTGTTATATCCATTCATTGGCCAGCCATTGAAAAAAGTGCGTATTGGTCATTTATTAATTGACTAATGTGCAATGGAAATGCTTACTGGAAATGCATGGAAGAGCCAATAATATGTGTATATGCAAGAGTTTGTGTGCTAACGATTGCATTTTTGGTTCCTTGTTTGTACAATACTGAAAAATGTCTGTCATGTTCTAACCTCTTCTTCTCTACTTGCATGTTGCATGCTGTTACAAAGCAGAGGCTGATGAAGGTAAAGAGCATGAATATTATATATCAGCACAACAAGCAAACACCTCATTTGTGTATGTGTGTGTGTGGCTGCTATCGTAGTTGCCAGACATTTCCATTTGCATTCTTATTGTCGTCTTTTCTTTCTTCTTTCATTTCTCTGCTGGGCTTCTTTTCTTTCAGAGGTTTATAACCATGTCTTAGTCTTGAAGCTTAGATAAAACTTTGGTGGGAATATGTGCGGGTGAGGGAGGGGAGCATCGTAACTTTGTTGTCTTATAAGGCTCAGGGTCTCTGATGTTTCTCCATGTTGTAGACTTTTCATTTCTGCAGTGCTTTTCTGTTGTTAAGACGCAAACACAAATAAAAAGCTCTCAGTTTATTTTAGGCGTTCATCTATTCCACCAGAGGCCTGCGTTGTTTTTCGTCTCTCTCTGCGACCTCTTCTGGTTGCGGCAACCTCACTGCAGCTTGCGTGTCACTCTTCTTGTGTAGGACTCTGTGATTTGCTCTGAGGTCAGTCTGAGCAATATCCGCTGCAAACTATTGAAAACCTTTTGGACACATTTTCTGTGATTTGTGTTTCTGTGAAACATTAAAACTCACAGACATCATCAGACCAGTTTTGACTATAACTATAAAACTATAACTACACAATATCAACAATATGGTACCGAAATAGCTTGTACAAAAACAAATTTATTTTTTTGATAAAACAATCAAATATATTCAAGTGTATTCAGCCAGATATTATTAGATTTTTATTTGATATTTATGTTTAAAAATCATGAGATTGATATGCCTAGCCTTATACAAAATTAATAACATGACATATATTTACTAGTGCTGGGCATTAGTTAATTAGTAGATTAATCGCGATTAATCGCATCCAAAGTAAAAGTTTCTGTTTATATAATATATGTGTGTACTGTGTATATTTATTATGTATGTATAAAGACACACACATACAGAATATATTTGGAAAATATTTACGTGTATATTTATACTCATATAATTTATATTATATATAAATATATTTAATATATAAACATAACATACTTTTCTTAAATATATACATGCATGTGTGTGCATTTATATATACATAATAAATATACACAGTACACACACATATATAAACAAAAAGTTTTATTTTCGATGTGATTAATCGCGATTAATCGTTGCCCGATGTAAAATCGATGTTTTGTAATTTTTCCAGTAACCAGTAATCTTGAAACTCTTTGTCTTTGTTTCAATTTAATCCATATTTAATCTCTTGTGGGATGTGTTTTCTTTTACCTTTTGTAGTTTTCTTCATGATTTTTTTTGATGATGAGGATATGTCACACAGCCTGTCTATGGCATCTGCTTAATTTGGCAAGTCTTTACCAAGTAACAGATGGATTTGCATGAAAATACCAGTGATTGACTGGATGACAAATTTGAATAACGAAATATAAGGAAAGAGTTTCTCTGCCCTTCAAAACTGCTATTCTAAATAAGCATAATCCTATTTAGTTGCATTTTATCATCCATGACCGGAACTAACCTGCAGCCTACTTGAATTTGTAATCGACCAGGTGAAAACCACTGCTCTTCTTCATCAAAACTTTTAGTATTTTGATTAAAAGTAGATTTAGTAAAAATCTGTATTCTAAAGCTAACATGGGGGTACGTAAATGATATAATCAGCGGAATTGCGTAAGACTTCTCTCGGATACTATAAGAGCCCCACAGTCATTAGTGTTGCTTCATTTAACATGGTGTTTTTGCTGTCCCTGTGCATCTCACAGCGGGCCGGAAGCAATTTGCACGTCACGAGTGGGCACAGAAGGCAGCTTACCTCTTAGGTTGCACCCTAGAAGAGCTCTCGTCTTCTATTTTCAAACATCAGCCCAAAGGAACCTTACAGAGATCCACCTCATTCTGCCAGGGACCAGATGATGTTGGGACAGGAGACAACTCAGGTAAGATCTTGCATAATACAAGACCTCTGATACAAAGGAATTGTGTTTGCTGGCTTTGGCAATATTAAAATGTATGTTTTGCCTCACAGCTCCAAAGATCACAGCTCTGGAGTGTCTGGAGGCCATGGCTGCTGGACTCTACTCTGAACTCTTTACTCTGGTCATCTCACTTGTTAACCGGTAATGTTTGTTACCTCTCATGGTCAGGACATTCATTTTCTTTTTATTAATGTAGGTTTTTAAATTGCCTACCATAGATCCCAGTTTCATTTGTGAACAAGGAAAAAGCCTGTATTGTTTAATGACTCTAACATACATTAAATATATATCTATTGTATGTTTGTGCTGGTTTAGAGCGCTGAAGTCGAGTCAACATTCCCTGTGCTCTCTGCTTATTGTGGACACACCGGGATTCCAGAACCCAAAGTTAGCCAAGCGAGACCGTGGGGCCACCTTTGAGGAGCTGTGCCACAACTACACCCAAGAACGTCTCCAAACGCTTTTCCACGAACGCACTTTTGTACAGGAGCTAGAGCGCTACAAGGAGGTGCAGCAGTCCACCCTGTTACAACTATCAAATTATTCCTTTTTTTTATTAAATTAATTATAGGCTCAATTCATTTGGGCTGTCTAGCTGAGTTAAAACGATCTTGATTTAATTACAGAATTAACATGTTTGTCTAAGCTGTCATAATCAAATGTGCTTGCTTGCCTTGTTAACAAAATCAATAATCAGGCTAAGTACATGGGCCAATCAGAGATCAGTCATAGAGATAATGGTACTGTAAGTGATGTTCTGGAACTCCCTACAAGTCGGCATGAAATTAAAATTATATTCTAAAAATAGACAGGGGCGCGGGAAGATGTTTTAGGTTGGGGGGTGCTGTACGCGTGGGATGGGGGTGGGATTTGGTTGCTATAGAGGCTATTTACACTAAGTGAAAATAGCAGTATTTTTTAGGGATATGCTATTTACACTAAGTGCAAATAGCTATAGATAGTTAAAATAGCAGGATATTCTGCTAATTACTTATTGCAAATAATGTCAATTATCTGCACCTCAGCATTGTAATACATTATAAAACCGTGTGCAATAATAACTTATTGAGTGTAAATTTTAATTCAAATTATTTAATGGATGCCACCTTATTGGGACAAAAGCCCTCCCTACATCTAACCCTACCAAATACTTTATTTTCAACTTTTTGATTATTTCCTTCATTTTTATTAAAAATAAATGCTTTTCTAATGTGATTTGAATTGTGAAAAAAAATTATGAAAAAAGTTCGCCAAAAGGCAGATTCAAACCCGGGTCGATCACGACAAAAAAGAAATATGACACACGCTTTACCATCTGCGCCACTGAATAAAAGTGTAAAAGTTAGTGTAAATAGCCTCTGCTAACAAGGCTATTGACACTTAGTGTAAATAGACACTCCGATTTTTATTTTTTTTATTCCAAACAGTTAAACACTTGCCCACAGAAAAAAACAGGGGGTGCAGCACCCTCACTTCCCGTGCCTATGAAAATAGATCTGTTTTGTAAATGCATGTTATTGAGCTTATTGCAAACAATTTATTCATATAGGTTTCGTGTTCGCATTTAATGTTTTTTTTTATTCCGTTTAATCAAAATGTCATAACTCAAGGTGTTTTCACACATGGCCTGTTGTTTCGGAACCTGGCGCGTTTCCCCCCTTAGCACGGTTCGTTTGGGCATATGTGAACACGGCAATCGCACTCGGATCCGCGCCAAAACAATCGGTCCGAGATCGCTTGAACAAGGTGGTCTCGGCTCGATTGAAAACGAACTCTGGAGCGATTCGGTTGTAGTGAGAAAGCAATCCGATCCAACGGACCAACGAATCAGGCTATATCACAATGTATAATGGGTAATTACATAAGTTTTGTGAAAAGCATTAGCTTTGTTGTTTTGCTGATACCTCAAAATGAACCTGTGAATGCGTGTGGGAGAGCACGTCTTTGGCATTCAAAAATTAAAGCGCACTTTTTTGTTTTATAATGCCGTCTTATTGCTCTTCTTTGTAGTATGTGCATTTTAAAAATGTTTTCCCAATCAATCCTGGACTCCTGCTCAAAATGATAAATTATTATTAACGACAGCTACAAAAAACCCAACAATAAGCCCGCAAAGCTGATATTGTTCCATTCTGACAGATGACAGCTGTGACAGCTCAGTGGAATCCCGGAAAATAAACCCTGGAACTTTGACCAATGAGAGAACGGTTTACTCGCGCGTGACTTGTATTAACAAATTTGGTCCGTTTAGAAACTTTGCTGTGTGAAGCGAACCGCACCAAGAATAAAAAGCAACATTGTAATCATTTGAATCCCTGTTTCGGAACAAAGCAATCGATCTACAGGTGTGAAAACACCCTCAATCTTTCCAAAAATCCAATTAACAACCGATGAATAGAAAAAAGTCCCTGCCCTACATTTTCATGCTTGAGGTTTGATCGGTTCTGATTCTAAGCCTCTTACTTGGTTTTTTGTTTGGCCACGAGGCTGTAAAATCATAGCACAAGAGAAAATATAGTATTAGACGCATAGAAAGCCTTAACCCAAAAATCAGTTTGAAATCATAGCTGACTAATACTCCCTCTATCCCTGTTTAGGAAAACATAGAGCTTGCATTAGATGACATAGAGTCCAGTACATCACTGTCTGTATCAGCTATAGACCAAGCCTCCACTCAAGCATTGGTAAGCAACTCTTTTCTCCCCTCATCTTTTCTTTCCTCCAGGTTTTTGTAGTGCATCCCAGCTTGTCCCCAAAGGGGCCTTATCTGGAAAATGTGTGCTTTTCAGTTTCAGCTGTGACTTGAATCACTGAGTTTTCCCTAGTCTCTCACAACGTTGGGGAAAAATCAGTTTGACTGCTTGAAAGTTCTAGTCGATAACTTTTGTGTCCTGTAGTTTGTCGTTTGAGAGCGAACTCAACCTCAAAGTTGTTATCTGTTGTGGTAAGTTATTATATTGTTGTATCTAGCCAGTTGTTGCAGGAGCAGCGTGTCAGGGACGTGGCTTTCTGGGAGGTTAATGAGACTAACCTCCCAGAAGATTGCTCTGACAGCATTTCATCTTGTGTGTGTATATATATATATATATATAAATAAATAAAAAAATTTTATTATAATTTTCTTTTTTTTGAACAGTAGTGTATATTATTACTTACAGTTAGGACTGTGCAAAAAAATCACATTGGATTTTTTGCCCAGCCCTACTTACAGTATATTCTATGTTTTGTTAGTTTAAATAATATTATAACTTTATAACTTTTTTTTATTGTCATCTTGACTGAACCTGTATGAGTGGCAGGAACACATGGTACATGTTATGTTTCTCAGCAATATAACAATCACACACTGCAGGATAGGGCATTTTATTTAGTCATTTTCTAGATATTGCAGCAACCAATTTCTATTAGTATCTCAGGTAACCATCTTTATGATTGAATTAACTCTTTCCCCGCCAGCATTTTTAAAAAAAAGTTGCCAGCCAGCGCCAGATGATTTTCACTCAAATTTGATGGCCTCCAGTATATTTTGCTGTATGAATATTTGAATATGCAATACACCAAAATAAAGATCAGGGCCTCTACTTTTAAACAAAAAAAAATCTGTTTTATTCTAGCTTAAAGCATTCTTTTTTTTTTATCAACACTTGAATGGTAGGTTTCATAAAAATGCATAATTTTGAGCAAAAAGGTGAGAAAATCTAATTTTTATCAAAAACTACATCTAGATAATATTCAGTACAATTATCAAAGCATAAATCCAGTAAATCGCTTCCATCAAAACCTCCAAACCTCCTAATTTATATGCTGTCTATTGCTGATGATCGCATTATTTTTCATATGCATCTGTTTACATAAGAGATCACTAGTTTTTCTGTCCTGTTCACGTGTGTTTTTGTTCGGGAGGTTTTGTACTCGTTCAGCAGATGCGTAATAACGCCCCCAAGTGTATAACAGAGAAAACACGAAAAGCCATAAAAACTCGTCTTTGGTGGGGAAGTGTTTTCTTTTAAAAGAGACGAGATAACTCGTCAATGGCGTGGAAAGAGTTAATAGGTTTAAACGGGCATCCTTGACTTAAAAAAGGGTTTTAGATTAGAATGGGTCAGTTGATAAGTGACTGATTGCAAAGACGAAGAGTGTGATTTTATTTCTAACAAGCTGCTTTGAGTATCACTATGAAGTGTTTTGAATGCCACCAGTGGTCACGATCACCAATTATGATTTTACGAATTGAAGTAGAAATGCAAACACAAATGCCTGTGTAGTCATGTGATCTTTTTCGCTTTTCTCTGCTTTTCAGTTTGCTGAAGTTTTGAAAGAAATTCATAAATTGTCAAATGAGCACTTTAAAAATTAAGTAATTGAAAGCACTCGTTAAAACAACCCTGACGAGTTAATTAGCCAATCTGTGCCTGATGAAAATAGTACAGAGGCATGATAACGACAGTCTCATCAGTGGGAAAAGTAATATTTAAAGACATATTCTGAGCATATTCATAAGCCAACGTAATTGCTGTAAATTCTTTTCCGCACCAGTCTCATCCGCAGTTATTCACCAGCCTGCAAAGTGTCAGTGCGGTAATGCAGAACAAGGGCGAAGCCATTACTGGTATTAATTGCTTAAGTAGACAGCCAGAGTGTAAGGTTTAAAAATGCCTGCCTGACTACCCTGGAGCTCTTACTTAATACAGGCCTTTAATGAGGAGCCCAAGACTAATAGCTCATCTTTTTTCTCCTCGTTTTCTCCTCCTCTCTCTTATTCTATAAAGGATAGTAATTGCTTTCATGTAATGACTAATGTTGTGTTTGAGGTCATTATCGAAATATGAAATGAAAAGTAAATTAAACAATGCACAGTCTTGATGAATGAAAGGGGCTTGAATTGCGAATAAACAAAGTTCTTGAGAGAGATTGAGTTGTTATAGCCACAGTGCAGCATACGCTTTTGGGTCTAACGTCTTGTTGTTCGCACTGATGATTCATATGAAGAATCTTAGTGGAAAAGAATTTCTAAAAGAAATGGCGGAGAGTGATGAGTTGGTAGTGCTTTCAGAAGGTTTAGAGGTCCTTTTATAATGGGTTAATGCTGTTATGTGTGCATAAGTGTGGTCACATTCACATGTCCTTTTTCTGACTGTTCATTTATATGTCAGGCTTTACAGGATTAAACATTAAAAAGTATTTACACTCTAGTCCAAAAGTGGGGTTGTAACCTAAATTGGGGGCTCGTCCGGGATTTGAATCGGTTGTGTCTCCAGCTCCCTAGTTTATAGTACTGACCCCTGTCTACGGTTCAGTCTAACAAAAGTGTTCTTGCATGTCCGTATGATTCAGGTACGGACTTTGGCCAGGACAGATGAGGCGAGGGGCCTGCTGTGGCTGATGGAGGAAGAAGCTCTGCAGCCCGGGGGCTCGGAGGAAACTCTACTGGAGAGACTCTTCAGTTATTACAGCCCTGTGGATGGAGAGAGCAAAGGTCAGAACACAATACACCTCCCACATGCCCACCCACGCACATACTATAACACATAGACATTTATGTATGAAAAAGTCATGCAACCTCATATGCTCAATGCGTCCCTCAGGCCCTGCCCTGCTGCTGAAGAGTGAGAAGGCACATCACTTCCTGTTGGGTCACAGCCATGGGACTGACTGGGTGGAGTATGATGCTAGCGGCTGGTTGAGCCATGCCAAACAGAATCCTGCCTCTCAGAATGCAGCCATTTTACTGCAGGACTCTCAGAAGTAAGACCTTAATATTTGCTTGCAAACATTTAGCAAACTCCATCTCTACGAGTGCTGTGAGTTTGGGTTGCTTATAACTAAATGTGAAAACACAATGAAAATCATTCATTTATGGTTAAATGTTTATAAGAGAAGAAATTAAGACATTAAGAAATTGTAATATTTATTGATTTATATTTTATACTTTAAATAATAATAATAGTAGTCATAATAATAATAATCATATAAATACTGTTTTGTATTATACAGTACAATAGTATTATTGCAATATTAAAAATATATTTTTTATTTATTTAATTTTTACAATTTAAATAAAAATACATTTATTATTACTGTATAGTAATACTGAATGTTTTTTTTTTGCAGTTACCTGAATTGTTTTGGTCAAATTAACATTTACTATATGTTTAGTGTTTGGGAAGCTAATGTTGCTTGTTACTGAAAAAGCAACTGCTGAGATGTGATTATGTATAATGGCAACATTTTTGCTTATTTCAAATGTTGCATAATTTACTTGTGGAGGCGTTAAATTATCTAGCTTATTCTGTGTGTACTCTGGTCCTTCTCTCTGCAGGAAGAATATCAGCGGCTTGTTTATGGGGCGTTCGGGGGGTGCCACAGTTTTGTCGGGCTCTATTGCTGGGCTTGAGGGCGGATCACAGTTGGCCCTGCGCAGGGCCACAAGCATGAGAAAGACCTTCACCACTGGCGTGGCCGCTGTTAAAAAGAAGTCCCTTTGCATCCAGATTAAACTGCAAGTGGTAAGTACTTCAAATGTGAAAACTACATGCATACACTAATGCATTCAAAACAGCTAGACAGAGAGCAACGGAATGGAACCTTTATTATGGACCTCCTTGACTGGAACAGAAAATGCAGGGCTCTCAAGATGTGTTTTTAAAGATCCTAGAGCCACTAAATTATGAAGTAGAAAATCTAGATAAACTAGTTACCCTCATTAATAAATTAATCAACCATTGTGACTAGAAGTCACAGTTTTTTGATGGCCAATGGAATATCTTGGAGCAGGATAGCTGATTTCCTATTTAATTTAAAGATGATAAGTGCTGCAATTAAATGTATATTTATCTACATAGTGTGATGGAGAGACCTTAAAGTTGTCTTCCATCACTGTTTTACTGTGTTCTTATTGTTCCCGATGCATTGTTGTAATTATGCATTTCCTAATCTAGCTGAGTGGGCATGGCAATAAGAAGTGCGAACTCAAGGGAAGCGCTCATTATAGTTAATTTATGAAAGTGTTCGTGCAAATATGTTTTGATTTATCAGTCCTCTTATTATTTGTATTTATTTACTTTATTTACTTTGTATTTATTTATTTACTTTATTTATTTACTTGACTCTTGTTACTTATTTTCATGTATAAATCATATTGTGAAACGAGTTTATTTGATAAAAAAAACATGGTATGTTCCAATTAGTAAGAGCGGGAAAATGTGTATTTAAGATGGCCATCAATAGTAGTAAGAAGGGGTGGATGGAATAAGAGCTTGTTAACGAGTTTGTGTTGCTGTGTAAGTATGGTAAACTCCAGCCTCAATATTGTGGAGGGGAGTTGGTATTGTTTTAAGTACTCGGCAGTTCTAGTTTTAGACTGTTTTATCAACAATCTTTCTTTTAAGCTCTTAAAACATATTTATTTGCACAATTTGCACATCGCCCGAAATAAACAACCTTTTGGAAACCAAATTCGCTCCCGTAATTTTTATCTTCCTTGTGACTGCTTGGGCCGTTATCACACATAATATTTACCAAATTAGAAGTAAATAATTAAAAAATGCATTCGTACTTTAGAAAGAGCTGTCATAGAAGTCCCGCCACTATCAAAATAAAGGTCCCACTTCCATTTTTCAGCCAAACAGAAAAAACCGTAGCGGCCGATAATTAAAAAAGTGCCTTGAAACTTAATGTGACTATGTTGTATGTTTTCCCATAGGATGCGCTGATAGACACTGTGCGGCGATCCAGGGTGCACTTTGTGCACTGTTTGCTGCCTAAAACGGAGACTTCGGCTGGGGATTTGAAGGTGCTGGGAGGACCCTCATCTCGGTCTGGGGAGATAGTGGCACACAGAGAAAGCTGTGACAACGGCCTCATGCAGCTGGATGTGTGCTTGCTCCGGGCACAGCTGCGCGGCTCCAAACTGCTCGATGCCCTGCGTATCTACCGCCAAGGTTGGAGTTTAAAAAAGCAAGGCATTTAAAAAATAAGATAAAGACAGTGAATGACCCTGGTTATTGATCTGTGACCTTTATTTTGAAGAGAATGTGGAAAAATGTATGAAGAGAGGAAAGATTTCAAAGTTCAAATTTTCCATGCAGGTTTGACTTTTCCGAATATCGTGTTTTTCTCGCAGGGTTTGTTGACCTTTGTAGGGCTTTTGTGGCCAGACGCTATGTAGCATTCTAGATGCCATTTTTTTAATTCTTGGAGACGTTCATGGGCTTATTTTGTCGAGTAGTCTTTTTGAAGACATTGCAGTGAAATCCGCAAAATGTCACTGGGAAATGTTTTGGCACATTTCAGCCTAAAGCCCCGTGTAAGCAGAACATTCTCAAGATAAGCGACTGACCAATGCCCTCGTCACTGCTCTCTGCTGAACCTCCACAGACCTTGTAGCTTCTAGAATCACGCATGTCCTTCTCCTGTAACGCTCCTGTCATTCGGCTCTCCTCTTCCTCAAGGTTACCCCGATCATTTGGTCTTTTCGGAGTTCCGTCGCCGCTTTGATGTGCTGACTCCCCACCTGACAAAGAAACATGGGCGGAACTACATCGTAACCGATGAGAGAAAGGTGAGTGTCCTTTTGTGAGTGTGTTAGTAAGTGTGTTGTTTCTCTAAGCGCCATTTGGCTCCTCCTTCATGAGCTGCTCTTCCATGTAATTGATTATGACAGTGCTCAGGGCAGAGAGCTGTGTTGTTGATTAATGGGGCTGTAGTACACATCTTTTCCCCCTTAATCTCAGCTCTGCTCTGGAGACAGGGCAATAAAGGCTTTAATCGGGACCCAGAGTGATGACTCTATCAGTGGCATCCTGTCCTATCACTGACCCCGCTTCTGTTATTGAGTCTACAAAGATCAGTAATGTCTTAATGTGAACTTTGTGTATATGATGGATGTATATGTGTATATATGTACATTTTAAATATGTACATTATACACATGTGTGTGTGTATATATAGTATCAGTTAAACATTTGGACATATTTAACTGAACATCTCTCTTTGGTAACAAATTCTCAGCAGATTCCCCATTAGACCTGTGATCTATCTGCTGCTGCTCAGTCTGAGACGTGGCTTTTGGCTTGTCTCTCACCACTGAACCTGTTCACCAGTCGGCCCCTGAACCCCTGCAGAGAGCACTCAATACCTCCCTGTGCTTTTAGCTCAAACTCTAGCCATTAGTCATCAGTCCACTGAGATTTTTTTAATCCCCTGCTATGTTGTTATTTGCCTGACATCTTGTCAGGAAGAAAGCACTCATGGGTGAGTGGAAGAGAGGGGTCAGACATTAAGACAGTTGTTTGTGACCTGGTTTCCCCAAGGTGGCTTAGCTTTTGGACAGAAAGAGCACCCCAGTCAGCACTCTGTCCACTTGGTGCCCTGCTGAGGTGGAAGGCATACTAGATCTTTATGTCTGTCTCACTGTTTTATACGTGTGTGTCTGTGTGTTTCAGGCTGTCGAAGAGCTGCTGGAGTCTCTTGAGCTGGAAAAAAGCAGTTATCACATGGGCTTGAGCAGGGTAAGTCATTCCACACAATACACGTACTAAACATTAAAAACGATAGTGTAGCTAAGGATTTTAGACCTAGAAGTGGCTCATTACCTGCAATACTAAGCTATTCACTCTAGCCAGCAGAGTTTTTATGTAATTTAAGTGTCTGGCATGTTTCAACACTTCTCAATTAATCAACAACAAAAAAAAAAGTCAAGATTGCAATTACGGAAAAATATCAATACACATATCATGTCGGTTTACTCCTGTTGCATCTATTTACATTGTGTTTTGTAGCGGCTGAACATTGTATCCAATCACAGACATGTCTGTTGATTTTAAGATTGGGGGATTTAAACTCTTGACATCTGGCAACCGCAACCATGAAAGCTTGTGAAGGCTTCTTACCAATGCAAGATAACACAAATGACAAATTAAAATGAATAGTTTCCAGGATAAATAACCAGCGGGCAAATATTGCTGATGATTGTGCTTAATAAATCGAGAGAAGCAGAAATTGTGATCATGATTAAAATACAATTTATTGGACACCCTGAATCAACACTGAACTGACTTGAGCTAAATAATAACACCATTGTTTTTTTTTTTATCATAATCATGAAGCTCTAAATTCATCTAAAAAAAATAAAGACTTCACATATTCAGTCACTCTATGTTATGGATCAGTGCATTGAGTCAATTTGTGGCATACAGATTCGGCCTGAGTCACAAGGATCAGTTCCAAACAGATGGCATGATTTCCATTTAGATTGCCGAAACGTTCGCTTCTTCTACACCTCTTAGACACAGACAGACTTTAATCCGCTCTGCCGCTGTGCTCACATCTGGATGGAAAGTTCGGCAGGGTGGGCTTCGGCCAAAAAGACTCGTCTCCTCCTCTTCCACCGTTGAAGCACTCTCTGCTCTGGGCCCGACGCTTTACCCAGAATGCTAAGCTGCAGATGGGACATGGCAGGCATCGTTGGCAGGCCTCATTGGTGGGCGTGTTGGAGCGAGAAAGACAATTATTCAGAGGTTTTCTGTGAACACATGAGCCAGGCTGGAAGGTTGTGCTATTGCACACTGGGTCTCCCCTAAACTTCGAATGATTAAAGCAGAATTCCTTTTGTGCATCTTCTGTAGACGATAGATTGATTCTGGCGAGGCACCGGCTTGCTTTGTTTGGTTTACTCTGACTTGGCGCACGACGATAACTCACTACAAACACCAATCAGCCCAGCAAGATATTGTGCTTCCAGACAAAGAACAGAAACCTGGAGAGAGAGCCAGAATAATAACATTCTGATAAATAGCTGATTACATAAATGGGAATAGATAAAAACGTGTCCAGGAAATACACAAATGATTAGTTTTTGGGCGGCCATCATTTTAGAATTCTGCTTCACACCACTGATGGGGATTGTATATACAGTGGCTATTTTGTTTTGTTTTATTTATTTGTTTTGTTTTTGTTTCATGTTGTATTGTTTAAAATAATAGGACTATTTATTATTTTATCTTATTTTTATCTATTTATTTATTTTTACTTATGTTTTTTTAAAGTAGTTTTAAAACCTTTTTAAAAATTGAAGTATTAAAGGAAAATTAATTTAAAGTAAAGCACTTGGGCCAGATTTACTAACAGCTTGTTCCAGCGCAAACCGTCTTTTGGCATTAATGTAGTACTGTCAGGATTTCCCAGTGAAGAATTAGCGCTGAAAAGGCGTGGACACAGTTATTTTTGCGCCTGGCCTTATTGGATATGCATTTGTAGGAGTTTCCATTTCAGATGCAAAATTTATGGGAGGAGAGTATTAAAATGATTCACGCAATGCATTTTACTCATGTTTGCACTCGTCAAATTACTGGTATTTGAGCCATTATTTAAAGGGGTCATATGATGCGTTTTCAAGTTTTCCTTTCTCTTTGGAGTGTTACAATCTCTTGGTGCATAAAGAAGATCTGTAAAGTTGCAAAGACTAAAGTCTCAAATCCAAAGAGATATTCTGTATAAAAGTTAAGAGTCAGCCACGCCTACCCAAACAAAGCATGTCTTAAAGCAGACGGTAATTTGCACTGCTCTTGGTAGATTGCGCTGGTCATTATAGAAATGAGATGTTGCGTCTGTGTTCTTTAATGTGCGCATTGCCAGTAAATCACCCGCAGAATTTTCCCCTTCCATCTGTGCTTTATCGCTCTATCGCTAATTTGCCCTATTTAGTCAATCTGGCCCCTAGTTTCTTGTGTAAGATGCCACTTAGTTTTGTCTACTGTAGTAACATTAAGACATTTTTTGTCAGCGTTGATGTGAACAGGATCCTAAGCAATCATGAACTCCCTCCACTGCTTATTGAAAACAGTCATTGTACAGTTGCCACCTTAGTACAATACATCCGTCTAAATCACAGACTCCCCCACTGACTTACACACAAGCTCCTCTCTTTGCACTCCTCCATTGCCATTTGTTTCCCCTTCTCTTCGTGAGGAATGTCATTCTCTTGGTCTCCATGGAAAACTCTGCCATTTGACCCGCGTGAAGGGACCTTTCCACCACGGTGATCTTGTGAGGAAAAGCCTGGCGAATCACAGGCCTGCTGGATGAATGTCATGGGGTGACTTGGCTAACAAGCAGCGGCATGCATCAGAGACATTTCTGAACACTATCATCATGTTCTTCAAGTGAACGCTTCCAACAGAGTCTCTTAGGATGATGTAATTCAGTAAAATAGTGTTTCGCACATGTTCCCTGATGCCGTGGGTAATGTAGTTGTGAGTATTTTAGCATCTCCACCTAATCTTACATTTGACTCGAGAGGACCATGAATGAAGTTCTCGCTTGGGTGATATCAGGCCTTTTTTGTGGCACATCTTCACTGACATTGAGAAATGAAGCTCAATTTTCCCTTGCTACTCTCCTGAGGTGGAGAGGTCTCTCTCTGATATTACACCTGCCTGAAAGCAGATAAGTGTGTGTGTTTGTGTGTATTGGCTGCACAGCAGGTAGCTCAGTCCTGATGTTCTAATTTACGGGGTTGTAAAGGGTCATGGGGAGCATTTCAGGTAAACGTATTGTCCTTTATTTTTATTTGTGGTACCATTGGGTTGGCAGTCGAATGCCGTGGGTTCCGAAAGCTGTCAAACTTTACATGAATATGGAATCATTTCATTACACTCCATTCTCTCCTATGATGTGATGCTTGGAGTTCTGAGAGATTGCCTCCTGTAATAACAATAACCGAGGCTCTACATCACTGAAAGGCTCTGGCTGCCTTTGATGTAAAAAGGAAGATTATACTGCAGAGCTGCTCCAGATAAAGGCTCAATCAAGAGGTATTTGTTGCCATTCCCACAGATGAGTAGTAATTGTAGCAGTGGACTCTCATCTTCCCTTCTCTCGCTCTCTCTCTATAAATAAATATATATATCTCGAACCAATTTCCCAAAGCAGTACTTCTTTCCAGCACAGGCTCTCAGGTACACCCCAGATTCTGTGTGGTTTTAATTACGATTCTGTTCATCTAGATTAATCCATCTTTAAAACTAATAGAATGCTAATGCAATTAGACCATGTCCACAGAGTTTGATGAACGCACGTCTGGAAAAAACGCAAGGTCCACTTCCCTCAAATTTCTCTGATTAAATGGCCTAATGGAGTTGGATTCCGAAGTGTTAATCCAACTCGGTTTGACACCCCCACCACAGAGCGGAAAATTACGAGTAAACAGAGCATGGGCAGAGGTTCAGAGGAAATCCTCACGCTTTCAGACAGGGTGGCTGCAGAACTTATTTGCAGGAAAGGAAAATCTGGGACTATGAAATTATGTATATCACTCACTTATATAGATCTAAATAATATATATTAATATATGTGTATTTATTTATTTTTAATTAAAAGTAATAATTATACACAAGATCAAAAGTTTGGGGTCTGGAAGATTTTTGAGTAATTTTTATGCTCACCAAAGCTGCATTTATTCAAATGTACAGTAAAAAATTTAATATTGTGAACTATTGTTACAATTTAAAACAACTGTCTCTTTTAATATTTTGCAATATATTATAAAATGTAATTTCCTGTGATGGCAAAGTTGATAGCAGCCATTACTCCAGTCTTCAGTGTCACATGATTCTTTCAGAAGTCATTGTAATATGCTTTTTTTAAATATATATTTATATCACGTCATATTGGAAACTTCCTATTTCCCACTTATGAAGTCATGAGCACTTCATGTGAGCACTGCTGCAGTCTTAGGCCCACCCCAAATGCTCTCATTGGTTGAGACGCGTGATGACCCATCCCAAGCCAATACTGATCAACATCCCACCCCTCCTGTGACCCATGGTTTGTCTGTATATTCAGAGCCAGTGAGCAACGGACTTTCATAATAATAAAAAAACTATGTTAATGCGCGATAAAATAATTGTCGGCATTAATCAATTAATGCGTTAACGCGACAATGCGTTAACTTGCCCAGCCCTAATATATATATGTGTATTCAAATAAACGTAAAAATGTATGTATGCATGTATGTATAATTTTTTTTTTTTATTAATAAATATACATTTAACAAACAGAATTTAATATTAAAGATTTTTATTAACATTGTACCATTAACCAAATGTGATGAATTCAGTGAAATTTTTATTGTAAGACAGTTTATTGTATTTCCATACATCTCATAGCAGTGGTCTGTTTGCAGGTGTTCTTCAGGGCAGGTGTTTTGGCTAAGCTAGAGGAACACCGAGATATCCAGACCAGACGCAACATCACCCTGTTTCAGGCAGCATGCAGGGGCTACTTGGCCCGACAAGCCTTCAAGAAGAGGAAGGTAAGTCCTCCTGATCTCATAAAAAGGAATTCATAATGTAAATAAATTACACTATATGAAACATTTAAGACATTTTAAGCCACTTTTTGTTCCAGCAAAGTGGAAAAGTTTTGTGCTTGAGCGTCTCTTTCCTGCTCTCAGTCAGAGCTCTCAGCGCTCGAGTTCATTTGTCGTAAGGTTAGTCTCAGAGTCCATCAGAATGTCGGTGCTGTCTTGAGAAAATCCTTCTGGCTGTGGCCTCGGCTGATATAGATAACATTCAATCAGCGCATCTCCAGGGAAAAAGACACCTACCCCACTGCCCTCCATCACAGGCCTATCGATTCTCCCGCAACTGCGTGCCCTGCATTCTCGCCTGCCCCCTCTCTGTCCATTAATTTCTGCTTTGCCACTCACTCTGTCTCTTTTTGGGTTTAAACCCTGGCGTCTTGTATTTTGTTCTGCCTTCCTTTCAGTCTCTGATCTTGTGTGCTCTATTCTCACTTTCTCACTTCCACACTCATGCGGCCCTCAGTGGGATTGGCTCAGGATGTGAGGGCCGGTCCTACAGTTGCCTGTGACTCTGTCTCTGTCTCTTGCGAAGACTGGGCCCCATCTCAGTAAAGTTCGTGTGAAAGGAGGTGGGCTTGGTGTCACTCCTCACGCTGCTGTTGGCCCTCGATGGTCAGCTGCCTTGGCAGTACAGCTTCATCAACAACATCCACTTCCTCTTTCAGTGTTGTACACAAACCAAGAAGGCTTTCCTTGGTGAGACTTTGTTTTCAGTTTACCTCAGAGCTCTTGACAGGAGACAAGCCTGTTTACTGGATGTTTTGCTGTAAGTAAAGGGAGTTTGAATGAGTTTGTTTGCATTTGTGGGCTGTTGTTTGTATCGTAGATGTAAGTAGGGGTTGCTTTCTTCAGTTAGATCCTGTTTTTTTACTTCTGTTGTTTAGCAGGGTTCCTTGTAAGGTATCTTTTGTAACACTGATTTGTAGGTGAACCGCTTTATAGCTGTTGCCATAAAAGATGGCTTGTGTACTTCTAGATTTGTTTAACTTCTTTGAAAAAGTTCTTGACTAAGTGCTGTGGCTTTCCATTTGCTGGCGGGTTCACTGTTATTTTCCGCTTTCTGTAAAATAATTGTCCTAACAAAGAGCCTTGTCTTGATGCCTCTGAATCACAGCAACCTGTCCCCAAAGGAATACAGTGGGTACGGAAAGTATTCAAACCCCCTTACATTTTTCACTTATTATATATATATATATTTCCTTAGAAAGAAATCTTTTGTCAAGCACATGTCAGAAACCTGTGCTTCACGCTAGACTGAGAGATGAGTCTGGGGATTTGTACTGGGTTGTAGCTAGGGATGGGTATCGTTAAGGTTTTAACGGTATTACTACTCTTACCGATACTGCTTATCGATTCGGTACTTTAACGGTATTCTTATCGGTACTTAGTTATTAACAAATATACAAATGAAATGAAAGAAACAGTGCTTTCATTTTTCCATGAAGGTCTACTAACATTACTGTTCAGGCAAGTAGTTACAAGTAATTAAGTATTACAAGTAAATTAAGTAATTACAGTTTTCACTGAATGTATTGATAGATTAATGCTTATGAATGCTATGCAATTCAGATTAAGAGCTGTGAGTGATTTTGTCTTTGCATTTTGTTGTTTGATTAACATTGATGGCCCAAGCGCCAGTCTGTCACTTTAAGACAATATATTGACACACATTGGATTTTCTCCCAACTGTTCTCGTCCACTTAAGACATAAAATGTGTTTAAGTAAATACTCTCCAAGCCGGCCATTTGGACATATTTTGTGTGTATTTGATTGTTTGGACGCGCCTGAAGCTCAAAGTTTAATTAGCTTGTCCGTTTTGGAGCGCGCCACGTACACACATTTCAGTCTGAGGAACAGCATCTCTTGTGCGGATTGTGCTTTCAACAACATGTCCCGCAATTTAGTAAGACGGCCTTTTTTTCAACAATCACCGATTGTGCTGATTCTGACTTTAAATTTGGGTTTTAGGGAGGAACGAATGCGCACCGCTGTGAAGAGAAAAAAGTTGCGCTAGAAGAAATGCGGCTATAATCCTTAAAAGCCAAAATCAAAATAAAAAAATTTAATTGGCTTAATAAAACAGCCACAGGCCTAAAGTGTAAGCATGTTTGAATGTTTAGTTTTCTCCTCTATCATAATTAAACAGGGCTTTCATGTTGCACGTGCTGAAGCTCCTCCGCACGAGCGCGATCTCGCTTCTGAATTGCGAATAGCAAAAATGCATCATAGACAAATGTTTGAATATCATTGTATATAAAAACAGCTGGCGACTCTGGTGAGATAGAATTTGCAAGATAATGTGTA